CGGCCATCGCCTTCGCGTCCCCGATGATCGACCCGAACAAGCGGCGCGTGCTCCTCTTCCTGTCGCTCGTCAACGACGGCTTCTGCGCGTGCTTCGCCTGGGAGCTCTACGGCTCCCACCGGGGCCTCTTCCTCCTCCAGGTCCTCGGCGTCTACGCGGCCTGGGTGCTCGCGGTCGTCGTCCTCGTCCGCCTCTACAAGCGGCGGAAGCGCCGCGGCGAGCCCCTGCTCGAGCCAAACCTCGCCAAGGGCCACGCGGTCCTCTTCCGCGTCATGGCGCCCCTCGCCGTCCTCGACATGGAGCTGCTGCCCCTCTTCCCCTGGCACGCGGGGAAGCGGTCCGCGGACGGGTTCCGGCGCAGCGTCCTGTGACGATTTTCGAGAGATTTCGGGTGGGAAAACAGTGAGAAATCGTCACTGTCATGCTTGGTAGGTTCCCCACGGTGCGGATCTCGCGCGCGGCGCTCGCGGCGACGCTCGCGCGCGACGGCCTCGGCGCGGCGCTCGCGCTGACGGCGCTCTTCCGCGAGTTCTCGCTCGTCGCCGCGGTCATGCTCGTCGTCCAGGTCGCGGACCTGGCCAAGGTGCTCTACACGCGGGCCCTCCGCGCCTTCGGCGCCGAGGCCGCGAGCCGGGGGAAGCGGGCCGTCCGCGCGCTCTCGAAGCTGTCGCCGCGGCGCTCCCTGGCCTTCTTCGCGCCGTCGCCGAAGAAGGTCGCCGAGCGGGAGCCCGGCGACGCGGCGAAGGCCCGGGAGCTCGAGCTGAACCCCATCCGGAAGCGCTCCTCGACGCCGACGGCGAACGAAGCGGCGCTCCGCGCGGGCGCGGAGCGCCACGGCGTCCGGCTCTACGACGCGGCCGGCCAGCGGCGCGCGAAGAGCGTGCTCGAGACCAGCCGCCGGTCGTCCGTCGCGTCGCCGGCCGCGAGCGCCGCGCGGAAGGAGCGGAGCGCCCGCCCGCGCGCGGCGAGCGCGGCGCCGAAGACCGCGCGCTTCGCCGACGACGCGCCCGCGACGCGCGACGCGCCCGCGTCGCCGGCGCCGACGTGGACGACCCACCTCGACGACCAGGGGACCGAGTACTTCTACAACACGGCGACGGGCGAGACGCGCTGGACCGATCCGGCGAGCCCGACGGAGTGGGTCATCCACCACACGGACGACGGCGTCCCCTACCTCTACTCGACGCGCACCGGCGAGACGAAGTGGTCCGAACACGCCGCGAGTCCGACCGCGCCGCCGCCGGGCGCCGAGCGCAAGGAGGACGACGGCGCGCCGGACGGCGGCGGCGGCGAGGCGCCCGGGGCGGACGACGACGGCGGCGAGGCGCCGGAGCCCGCGGAGGAGGTCGAAGATGGGGAGGCGCCCGTCGACGGCGGCGGCGAGGCGCCGGTCGAGGACGCCGCGCTCGTCGACGTGCCCCTCGAGGTCGCGTCCGACGCTACCCCGTAGTAAGCACCGAAGAGCTCTTAAATATCCGGGTGCTCGCGGAGGAAGTCCACGGCGGCGGCGAGGTCGTCGCGCACCTCGAGGGAGTCGGCCTCGAGGTCCAGCGTCCGGAACTTGGTGATGATGGAGAGGTAAAAATGGGCCTTCTCGAGGTGGCCGTGGCGCGCGAGCACGTTCGTCGAGAGGCCGATGGTCACGTCCGTGATCTCGTCGACCTTGATGGACCCCTGCTGGGCCTGCCGCCGCTTCTTCGTCCACATCAAATGGCTGCCGTGGACGTCGAGCATGAGGTAGCAGCCGTGGGGGCGCGCGTGGCGGCAGTGCTTGAGCACCCGGAGCCCGGGCGGCGCGAGCAGCGCGAGGCCCCGGACCTCCTTGCCGCGGCTCGGCGACGGCGGCGGCGCCGCCGCCGCGGGCGCCCCCGGCGCCGCGGAGCCGTCGTCGCTCGAGTCGTCGTCGCCGCCGCCGTCGTCGTCGCCGTCGTCGTCGGAGCCCTCGGCCTCGGCGACGAGCGTCTCGCGGAAGGTCGTGATGCTGCTCCGGCGCCGCGCGCGCGCCGCGGGCGCGAGCCGCGCCATGCGGTCGACGTGCGCGTCGACGGCCCCGCGGATCGCGTCGATCCAGGCCCGCTGCTCGATGCGCGACGTCGCGTAGAACTCGCGCGGGACCGGGTCGCCCTTGCCGTCGCGGTCCGCGACGGCGCAGCCGTCCAGCAGCACCTGTGTGGAATTCAACCACTGGTTAGGGTGGTCCTGACCAAACTTGAGAATTCTCTAGCTCGGTCAAATCGAAGTCG